GTGCGAATGTCTTGCATGAAAAAGGGAAAAAAAAAATTTTGTCCTTTTCATTTTCTCACTTTGATCATTTTTATATTAATTTATTATAAAAAAATTTATATTAATTTATTTAAAAAATATTAGATAAATTAATTGAAGTTTTATTTGCTTTTATTTTAAAATGATATAATTTTTTTTGTTAAAAATAAAATAGAGTATTGTGTGATTCATAGTTATGTATTTTATTTATTTATTTCTTATTATTATTGTTATAAAATTAATCATTTTAATAATAAAAAAATTAAAAAAATACACCTAACTTCTTTTGAATATATCATTATTAGTTGTTAGTTATATAACATCAAAAAGCAATCCCTAAATTATTATATAACCAAATATCTATATCAATCAATTTGTGTTATTTATTATTTATTTTGGGGTTTATAGGTTTGGGCTTATATTGGACCTGGTTCTTAATGTGAAATCTTTGCAGGCCCATCGAGTCTCATTATCATTTTCACCTTCTTGTTGTAACCTGAATTGTAAAGAAAATATGCCTTAAATTACTACCCATTATAGTCTTTCCAAGTACCTTGCTGACTTGGAACTAGAAGTTCTGAAGTGTGATCCTCAAAACAAAAAAATAAAAAAAAAAATATTTTAGATACAATAAATTTTAATTTTTTAAAATTAAGAATAGAATATAAATTTTGATGAAGAAATTTATAGTATTTAAATAGATATCAACTAAAGGGTATGTCTTTACAAAAAAATAAAGTAAAATACATGTCAAAAAAATGTCCCTACAAAAAAATACTATTACTAAAGGAAAAAGGGGAAATTAGGATATTGTAGCTTTAAAAATGTCAGAATGTTTAATAATAATCATATGATGAATTTAATAAAATTAAAACTCATACTATATTCTACACATCTAATAGTTGTAATTAAAAGTCCTAATATTTTTAATATCAAAATATCCTATTTTTTTCTTTTCTCATTACTAAAAAGTATCTTTTAGTTATCAAAAGTTATGTTTTAAAATTTAAGTGTCTTTAATTTTTTTTAAAAAATTAATTAAAAAATAAATTTTTTTAGCAAGTGCCCATCTAAATAATAATATAAATTGACAAAACTAAACCCAAAACCTATAAATCAAAAATTCAACTTTTTATAATTATTTATAAAATCAAATAAAATAATATAAATCTCTTTATTTCTTTACAATTCTCAAGGTCAAATTTCCTTCATTTCAAACCATTCAACAGTTAGGCTACTAGGCCTTTAGTTTGAAGGTGTTGGGTCGCAGTCCAAAAAGTCTTGTTCGCTTTCCAAAAAGTCTTGTTCGCTTTGATTTGTCATTGTAGGAGGACTTCATGTCTTTTGATTCTTTATTTGGTGGAAAATTTTGAATCGTAGATAAAAAAATACGTTAAATTATTACCCATTATAGTCTTTCCAAGTACCTTCCTGAATTGGAAATAATTGCATTGGGCATTTGGTGGATGGTGTTTGGCGTTCGGCCTTAATTTGCATCGCTTCTCTCCATTGCTTTATCAATTATACAAGACAAGACTAAATATTGTAAAATAGGGTGTGAACCGGTGGACGAATTGTGGCTAAAGTTCTTTAAAATAATGATTTCCCTCCCTATAATCAAAGGTTTGTAGTCAATAACAACTTGAATGATGGATCACGTCTCCTTCATTTTCTCCTAATCAAACTTAAAATACACAAAGCATTATATTGACTGCATTTTGATGATCAATGTTTATGCTTTTCAATGGATTATTTACTTGTTAATTTGATAAGATATTCTTCTTTTTTTTTTTTGGTTATAAATAAGATATTCTATTTATATACTCCACCCTTTCGCTTATCCATTGATCTTCAATCAAGTGGATAAGAAATATCCAACGTTTTCTCTTGGTCATTTTCTTTAGTCCGAGTTCACTGCTGTTATTGGTGGGCGCAATTATTTTTGGAAGTTCGTTACCGTAACAGGATATCCATATTGGCCCTACCGTTTTGGACTTTTAGGCATTCTGTTTTCTGGGTAAACAAAATGTCCCTTTTTATCCCCTTACTTCTGATAAAGCCAATGCTTGAGAAGAAGAAGCAGCAGCTGCCATGGACACCCCAGAGATCTCTTTCTCCCTGCCTTTTATTCTATTAGTCTCCATTCTCCATTCTCTGATCCCCTCATGTCAAGTGCTTGCCTGCAATCCAAATGACCTGACGATCCTTAAAGGCTTAGCTGCTTGTTTGGAGTCAGACATTGGTGGCTGGAACGTCTCTAACTCCGATTGCTGCTCTTGGACTGGTGTAACTTGTGCTAACTCCACCACAAGCTCAAGCCTGAGGGTTGTCAGGTTAGAGCTTGGGAGCAAGAGGCTTTATGGAACTGTTTGCGAGTCATTGTCTGCTTTGGATCAGCTGAGAACCTTAAATCTATCCAACAATTTTCTTCAGGGTTCTCTTCCTACCAGATTGTTCCAATTTCAGAATTTGGAAATCCTTGACCTGTCTCACAATGATTTCACTGGTTTCCTTCCGGTCAGCATCCGGTTACCCTCAATTACTTCCTTTGACATTTCAGACAATCATTTTTCTGGTGCTGTCAATTTTTCTCTTTGTGACATCTCAACAACAATCCAAGTTCTTGATGTTTCAAACAACAATTTCGCTGGAGAAGCTTCAACTTTTTTCCGAAGTTGTACTTCTCTGCTGCATGTTTACATCAACGGCAACAGTTTGTCCGGTGCTTTTCCGGTAAATCTCCTCCGATTACCAAACCTTCAACGACTTCATCTTCAGGATAATCATTTTTCTGGTCAACTGGATGACAGAATCGGTAACCTCTCCAATCTTGTTGAGCTTGATGTCTCCAACAACAACTTCACCGGATACCTCCCGGATGTGTTCGGCAGCCTAGGAAAGCTTGAATACTTCAAAGCAATCTCAAACAAGTTTACCGGTGATTTGCCCAATTCTCTAGTAAATTCCCCTTCCCTGGCAAAGGTTGTTTTTTCAAGGAACCTCCTGTCTGGTCCGATCAATTTCAACTGCTCCGCCATGGTTCGTCTCTCCACCCTCGACCTCGGCAGTAATAATTTCTCCGGTCCAGTTCCGGACAGCTTATCCTCTTGCAAGACCTTGACAGCTTTCAATCTCGCAAGAAACAATATTGGCGGTGAGATCCCAAACAGCTTCAGAAATCTCCAGGCACTGAAATACCTATCCCTCTCCAACACCAGCATCAGCAACATCTCCTCCGCTCTTCAGATCCTCCAGAACTGTAAGAACTTAAACATGTTGATCCTCACCAAAAACTTCGATCAAGAAGAAATGCCAAACAATGTGGATCTTCAATTCAAAAGCTTGAAAGCACTGATTATCCCCAACTGTCGTCTCAGGGGATCTCTTCCGATTTGGTTGAGAGCCTCCACAATGCTACGATTGGTGGATCTATCAGCGAATTCTCTGAGCGGATCGGTTCCTCCTTGGGTAGGAGATTTCAGGTATCTATTTTACCTGGATTTGTCTAACAATTCCTTCACCGGAGGAATTCCGGAGACTTTAACTAGACTGCAGAGCCTAATTTACAACAATATCACGGTGGAGAGATTCTTTTCCGAGTTTCCTCTGGTCAAAACAAGACAGAATGCTTCAGGGCTGCAGTATAATGCAGTTGACAGCCTTCCACCGACTCTCGACCTCAGCTACAACAGACTCACCGGACCAATCTCACCGAGTTTTGGAGATTTAAAGCAGCTTCATGTTTTAAGCCTGTGTCATAACCAATTGTCCGGAGCCATTCCAGGCGGCTTGTCCGGAATGAAAAGCTTGGAGACATTGGACCTATCATATAACAAGCTCTCCGGCCAAATACCTCATTCACTAGTACAACTCAGCTTTTTATCAAAATTCAGTGTAGCATTCAATCAGTTGTACGGAGAGATCCCAACCGGAGGACAGTTTCTAACGTTTCTGGATTCGTGCTTTGAAGGAAACTCAGGTCTCTGCGGGACAAACTTTAAGCCCTGTAATGTTGAACGGACTCCGCCTCCTCCTCAGCCCGGTAGTTCTGGTGACGATAGAATGGAAGTTTTTGGCCTCAATTTTGCAATTGGGATTGCTGCCGGTTTTCTGGCTTCAGTTACCTATTGCGTCAGCCGTCCATTTAAGTGTTCCAAGGGGCATGGAAGAACCAGATCCAGATAAGAGTAACAGACAGGCATACTGAGTAAAATAAAGCAACTCCTGATGTTAGCTAGGATAGATTAGTGATAATTAATGCAGAGAATGAGGATGTTATGTTAATTAAATAATAAAAAGATTTAAATAACTTTAATAAATCAACATATAAGCAGTATTTATTAAGGGTATTTGAAAAATTTTATAAAATATTTTGAATGTTAAAATCTCCAAATTTTCATTTTTTTTCTAATTATAAATCCTTTGTAACCAACGAAGGGTTGGATCAAGTGGTAAGCGGCTTGTTCCAGCTTAAGTAAGGTATCGAGTTCGAGCCCTTGTGAACGCAGCAGCCTTCGTTGGGAGACTCACCCACCATCTCCAGGTGCGCGACGCGGGTCGATCCGGATTAGTCGGGGCGAAGCCCCGGATACCGGACGGGAAACCAAAAAAAAAATCCTTTGTAAGTAAATATTTTTTTGTCACATGTGCCCTCAATGTTCTTCCTCAGCTTTCTTAAGTTGGTGCCTTGGGTTAAGTATAGTTAACTTTCGGGTCTAATTGCGGCTGAAGATGGAGCGGCAGTTGATCATATCGTGAAGTGATGACTCTACTTTGGATTGGAGATCCTAATGTTTCCTCTCCTAATTGCGTAGTCTTCCAAGCAGTGTTCTTCAGAACTTGCTTGCAGGAGCTCCTATATATGTTTCTTTTGCTGCAATCAACCGTGTTGATGAAGGGTCCAAGATTTGGATATACATTTCATCTTGAAGCTAAGATAGCTGTACTGGACCCTTCTAGTTAGCTTCAGGATATATGTTCCAAAAAAAATAAAAAATATATATAAAAATATAAAAATGTTCTTCATACTTGTATATATCCATTGACAACAATTTAGAATTTGGTCAAAATACTCCAGACAATTTTTTTGAGCATATAATCAGTTTCAGTAGGCATTAATATTATTCTCTTAATTTCATATTTTCTTCTTTTTTTTATTTCTTTTATTTTATTTTATTTTTTAAAAAAAAAGAAAAGAAGAAAAAACCTGAAGGGAAAGGTCCCATGCTATTTTTCCCATCACTTGGCATGGTAAAGGCATGCACTCGAACCAAGGTCTGCCATTGTGAAAAGAATAAGTGGACTTAAATATAATATATGCATTTGGTTTAAAGGCACAAATATTTCTTCTTGGCCTTTTATAAAGAGTTTTTTCTCATTTGTACATGCTGTTCTCATATCCAGACATACCATGAACTTTAATCTAGTAACGGGAACGTGATACCTACATTGTCATTTCCTGCTGTATTATATGTATTTATCTGGTACATCAAAGCTTGTTGTTTAACTATTTCACAGATTAGAATGCTTGATCTTAGTCCTAAATCATGATTTCAAAATTAATGAATATCCATTCAATTAAACTCTTGTCAAATCCTAAACAAATGAAACATATCATGGTAAACCATATCTTCCTTCAAACTTTCCTTGACTGTTTAGAAAATTTCTCTGCTTTTATAACTTACACAATGCAACCTCAAGCATCATTTTACAAATTAAGTTTATAATTTCACTATTGAGATCAACATTTAAGAATTGAAGGTATAATGTTAATATAAAAAGTGTGTTTTTAAAAATATTTAAAAATAAATTAATTTTAAAGTATATAAAAACTAGATTAAAGATCCTTTGATTGTCAAAAAAAAAGAAAAGAAAAAAGGAAGACATATTCGATGGGAGA